TATATATATATATATATATATATTAAAATGTGTAACTTAGTGCATTTGTAATTTTAGAATTATCATTCAATATTTATATTCTGAAATTGTAAATTAAGAAAACAACACTAAATAATTGCTAAGTTAAATTTACATTTGAATTGAGTTGAAAATTTACCTTCACTTTTTTTTCTACTATATAACGAGGCTAATATCTGTATGGTTCATGTAAGAAATTGCCTGAACAGTTGCAGATATTTCATGCAACCGTAATTTCTATATCACACGAGGATTTTTCGAGCAATTTTTGGAAAAATTGCCTTTAGAGTTGCGGATAGAGTTGAGGTTACACTTGCAGTTGCACTTATTCTCTCTCATTTGACAGAGGCTTTAGGGTCCGAGTTTGAAAATTATACCTTGATATTAAAGGGAGCTAGGGGAGCTCGAAATTTGAACCATACTCGCTCCATTTTATTTTTTTATTCTTTTTTTTTATTAATCCATTACGCTTTCTTTGCTGGATTTCACACGCAGAACACCCCATGCATGCTAGAATATCCAAAATGTTACAAAAGGAGTCGAAAAAGAGAAAATAAACTGATTTTCATGGATTTTTCCAGTTTTTTTTTCCCATTTTCCCATTAAAATTTTTTTTCCTACACGCAGGAACCTCCAGAATATCGAAAAACACATAAAAAAATAATGTAATTTAAAATAAACAAAAAAAAAGAAAATTTTTTGAAAATTTGACCGTCCCTGGGATTCGAACCCTTTACCCCTCCCTCCTGCAGCGAACTTGCTTGTCTGATGGCCTACCTTCCAGTCCACGGTCATACGTGAAGCCTACCACAGTTTCGCTTCAAAAGCTCTCTCCTGTCCGATTTTGAAAATTATACCTGTATATTAAAGGGAGCTAGGGGGTCTTGAAATTTGAACTTTTCTCGAGCTATTTATTTTTTTATTCTTCTTTTTTATTATTCCATTACGCTTTATTTGCTGGACTTGACACGCAGAAAACACCCCATGCAAGCTAGAATATTCAAAATGTTACAATAGAAAT